GTGCCATGGGGCTGCCGACGCTGGAGTTCAGCGATTCCTACTTGGACAGCCCGGACTTCAGGGAGCGCCTGCAGTGTCACGAGATCGAGCTGGAGCGAACCAACAAGTTCATCAAGGAGCTGATTAAGGACGGCTCCCTGCTCATCGGGGCGCTGCGGAGTGAGTAGCGTGGGCGGTGCAGGGCTGAGGGGGCCAGGGGGTCCAGGCTGACCGCGCGGGGTGCGGGTCGGAGGAGTGGGAAGGAGGAGACGGAGCTTCTTTTGTTTGAATGGGTTTGGGGGACAAAAGCTGAAGAGCTCCCCTGCTGGTGGCCAACAAAGTTTGTTCGGAGGTGTTCTCCACTCCCAGGCTACAGAGAAGGGTCGATTCTCACCTGGACGCTGGAATGAATCCTGAGTGAAGTTGTACAAAAGCCATCAAAAGCCATTTTTTTTCTTTTCTTTTTTTTTGTATAACGTCCTTGGAAAAAATATTGGGGACTGTTGGTCTTTTTTTTTTTTTTTAATTTGAACACTTTAACAATAATCCTTAAGGAAGGATTCAAGAGTTTGTCTTAAGGCTGAGCAGAGGTCATTTGTTTAGTGGTATTCAAAGAATATGATTAATTTCCTATGTATCTGTCAGTGGCTCTTCACTGGACACAACCATTGAGTTGGCTTTTAAAAAATACGCATTTGTAGTTTGTGGCGATCCTGGCGTGAACACGCCTACTGCGCGGCTAGTCCCGTAAGAGTGAGATGACGGAAGGCAGCATGGACCAGTGGATTTTATCTCATTATAAAGTTATTGTGCATCTTAATGTGGGGTTTGCATTGTAGATCCGGAGTTGGCGGAGTCACTGAGGACGCGAGTGCAGTGGCTCAAGGCCAGTCAGAGCTTCTGATCCTCCATAGGAAGTAAAGCAAGCCCTCAGGGGCTTCGGCCACCTCCTGTCCCACACTCTGGAGCCGGATCTGCACTTTTAATTACTAGGGCTTTAGGAAAAGAAACCCCAGAGTGTTTTTAAAATAGATAATCGAATGAATCCATAATAAGGCTGAATGGTTACCTTTCCCAGGACATATTTACATCTTAATAGAGGCTTCTGAATGCCTTAGCCACTGAACAGAAATACTGGTATCTCTGGCCTCTGATGGCTGGTGAAGTATTTTCATAAAGTGGGGAGGCCTTTGGGTGACCTAGCAATCCTTAGGACAAATGCAGGGGAAGCATCATTGTATATGTCAAGTACAAGGTCAGCAACAACATGGGGGAGGTATGTGTGTGCCAGAAAAAGGCATCATTAGTATCTGATCTGTATTGTGAAGCATGTGTTAATAATCCCAAGGATGGAGTTTAGCAAAATGTATTGAAATTAGCCTGCCCCGGGGTGGCTCAGTGGTTGAGCGTTGACCTATGAACCATAGGGTCACAGTTGGATTCCTGGTCAGGGAACATTCCAGGGGTTGCAGGCTCCATCCCCAGTGGGGGGCATGCAGGAGGCAGCTGATCAATGACTCTCATTATTGATGTTTCTATCTCTCCCTCTCTCTCTGAAATCAATAAAAATATATTTTTAAAATTTATTGAAATCACTGTGCTTCCAAATGCTAGAACATTTACTTATCACTTACGTTACTTACCCGGGTAAAAGAAATATGTTTTATGCCCACATTCATTCAATTTCTGCTGATAACAATATTTACTGATTTGTGAAAAATATAACTTATCTGTGTTCTTTCCATCCCGTGTATAAACAAATGTGAGCTCTTCTTCCTTTGGGTTTGCAAATCCTGCCTGAGTTCTTGGGACTAGCCTCTTTGCCTCTTCGAGAGCGTGATGCCTCTTCAAAAAGTTTCCCAACTTCAGCGTGCTAAATGCTGGGCCAACTCTTGCTGGAAGTGCCAAATGGTCTACAAATGGCATTTCTCTTCACTGCTGGAGATCAGTTTTAGTGTTTCAAAAGTTGAAAATACTTACATAACTGTGATAACTACTTATTTTACTAGTAACATGGTGTGCTTTCTTATGATTTTTGAATCTAGCCTTGCAGAAATCAGCTGATTTCCGTTCTTACAGATCTTCCCTTCCTAAGTGAAGAAATCTTGAGCGTAGGTTTCATGAACATTTAGACCCTGCCTTGTTACTTTGGCCTGATGCACTTAAATATACAACCTGCTGTCTTTCTAGGATTCTTGGGTTTGTGGGGAGAGTGTGTTACAGTCATGTGCTATACAACAGCATGTCGGTCTGCAGCGATGGGGCCTTAGATCACAATGGAGCTGAAAAATTCCTATGGTTAGTGACGTAGTAGCTGTTCTAAAGTTGTAGTGTGGCGCATTCCTTACGTGTTTGTGGTGATACTGGTGTGAACAAGCCTACTGCGCTGCTGGTCCTTTAAAAGTATAGCACATACAATTATGTACAGTACGTAGTACTTGATAATAAACGACTGTATTACTAGTTTATGTATTTACTGCACAATAGTTTTTTATCCGATTTCAGACTATACGCTTCCTACTTACATGAAAGTTTGCTGTGAGATAGCATGCCGTGTAACACCAGCAGCAGCCTCGTGTACCTCCTGTTTATTCTGTCTCTTGAGTGCATATTTTCTCTTGTACTTGATTTAATCTCATGTTGCTTTATCAATGTAGTGTAGCTTAAGAGTGCAGTGTTTATAAAGTCTGTGGTAGTGTACAGTAATGTCCCCGGCCTTCACATTCACTTACCACTCACTGACCCACCCAGAGGGATTTTCAGTCCTGCAAGCTCCATTCATGGTAAGTGCCCTTCCGATACATGTGCGCCATATTTTATCTTTTTTAAAATCCTCACCCAAGGATATGTTTTTAGTGATTTTAGAGAGAGAGGAAGGGAGAGAGAGAGAAACATTGATGCCAGAGAGAAATATCAGTGCCACAGAGAAACATCAATTAGCTGCCTCCTGCACTTGCCCTGATGGGATGGAACCCAAAACCTGGGTATGTACCCTGACCAGGAATCAAACGCATGACCCTTTGGTTCATGGACAATGCTCCAACCAACTGAGCCACACTGGCCAGGGCCCATATTTTATCTTTTATACCATATTTTTACTGTACATTTTCTATGTTTAGATATGTTTAGATAAACAAATATAGTCTTAAAATTGCCTACAGCATTTAATACAGCAACATGCTGCACAGGTTTGTAGCCTAGAAGCAACTGGCTATATTATATAGCCTAGGTGTGTAGTAGGCTATACCAGCTAGGTTTGTGTGAGTACAAGTGCTCACACAGTCCTCCTATCTAATTAAGAGGTAATATGCAAATTGACCATCACGCTGTCACAAGATGGCAGCACCCACAGTGGGGGCAGGGCCAGCTGCTCTGTGTGCCTACCTCTGGAATCCCCTCAGCCCCACCAGGGGCCTCGGGTCCTCCTGAGCCCCCCCACCACCCACTGACTGACAGCTCGCCCAGGCTCCTCCAATGAGCTGCCCATCCCTCTCTTCTTCCCTCCCCTGAAGCTGAAGTCTGACTGTGGTGTTGAACAAATTGGGAGTTATAACTCGTGTTGTTGAGAGTATCCTCCATTCCTCAGCCGGGGCCGGCCTCTCCGCACGCCGGCCGCCGGAGTCCCCTCAGCTCCGCTGCGGGCCTCGGGTCCTCCTGCACCCCCCACTGACTGAGGCTCAGGCAAGCAAGGCTGGCCGAGGCTCAGGCAAGCCTCGGATGCTGGCTGCCCAGCTGCCCAGGGCCGGCCTGAGGCACAGGCAAGTCTCGGATGGTGGATAGTGGCTGCCCAGGCGCAGGCAAACCTCGGGCCGGCCGAGGCTGGTACTTCTGGCAGTGGCAACAGCAGAGGTGTGATGGGGGCGTTGCCTTCCCCGATTGCCAGGTCACCTCCCGCCCCTGAGGGCTCCCGGACTGTGAGAGGGGGCAGGCCGGGCTGAGGGACCCCCCCTCCAGTGCATGAATTTTCATGCAC